GTGATTTTGTTTGGGTTTTCTGTTTGGGGTTTGCTCAGCTTCATGAATCTGCAGTGTACGTCTCACCAAATTTGGGAAGTTTTCAGCCATTATTTCCTAAAGTGCTCTTTGAACCCCACTCCTTTTCTCCTCTTTTTCTAGAACCCCCATGTCACAAATGTTAGGTTCATGTTATGAAACCCCACAAGGAATGAGACTTCGTTCATTTTTTTTTCAGTCCATTTTTTCTTTTGTTCAGGTTGGATAATTTATATTGTTCTACCTCCAGTTCATTGATCATTTCTCTGCCTCTTCTATTTTGTTGAGATGATTCATTAAGTTTTAAAATTTTGGTTATTGTACTTTTCAGTTCTAAATTTTTTTTATTTCTCCCATTTCTTTGCTGAGACTCTGTTTTTTCGTTTGTTTCCAGCATGTTTGTTATTGTTCACTGAAGCATTTTTATGGTGGTTGCTTTAAGATCTTTCTCAGCAAATTCTACCATTCCTGTTGTCTTAGTGTTGGTGTCTATTAATTGTTTTTCAGGTTGAGATCTCTGTGGCTTAGTGTGCCAAGGGACTTTTTAGTGAGATGCAAGCATTTTGGGTATGATGTAATTTCAGCATCTTGTCGTGGCTGACGCAGCTCCAGCAGGTCAAGTGGGGTGTGCACCTCGCTACAGGGAGGAGGGGTGGAAGTCCAGGCTCCCACTCAGCCTTCGTGACACCTGAGCAAGGGTGGGTGGCTGGGTGGGGGCTCCTTCTTGTTGCCAGGCAAGGATGGGAATCCAGCTCCCCTTGTGGTCCCCTTGATGCCCCTAGGGTTGGGACATTCTCATTATTCCTGGGTTGGGTGAAAGTCTGGACTGCCTGCTTGACCTCCTCTGATACCTCCCAGCATGGAGGGGGATGGGCACCCTCTTACTACTGGGCGAGGATAAGAGGCCATGCTCCCCACATGGTCTTCACTGACCCCATGGGGCTTCATGGTGACAGTCTAGGCTTCCCTTTGGTCTCCGCTGACTCATGTGGGTGAGGGTGGGCGTCTTTACCAGCCAGTGGGAGTGAAAGCTGTAGTGCCCACTGGTGGTGTCTGACACTACCCTGCAGGGACTTGGGGGTCCTTGTTACAGGCTGGGGAGGGTGAGGGGTCCTTGCTGACGTGGTGGGTGGAGCCGAGGTCTGGTGTCTGCAGGGAGCAGGGCGATTCCTGTCAAAAGGTCTTTCCTCATGTTGGGCTGCCCCTTCCCTGGGTCTTAGGCCAGAGAGAGCTGCTTTCATGGGCTCTTTTTTCTGCATCTGTTGGCATTTCCAGCCTGCTTCCTTCTTCAGTTTCAAAATATCTGAGGCGAAAAGAAAAGCCCCCAGGGAGCTCTGCGTGGCACAGCTCCCCAGACCCCAAGGGCCCGGCCGGTCTGCCCGCCTCGCTCCCGCTTTCAGAGTCTTCCCAGGTGGTTTATCTCAGTGTCTTGGGTAGGAGAAGAACAGGGAGAAGTGTGTCAGCCGCATCTTCCTGAGTTTGCTTTAAAAACAGTTTTCCTGGAAGGGTGCCGGTGCCGACGGGCTGCAGGGATTCTGGCCTGCGGGCGTGGAGCGGGGGCCTCAGGGGTCTTGGGCGGGACTCACTGGGCTCTGCCCACAGATGTCCTGAAAGCACTGCAGCCTCCTGAACCCCGTGCACCTCCGGGAATGATCAGGTCCCTCCCTGGTGTCCCAGGGACATCTCCAGTCCCTCCTGCCCCTGGCAGCTGTGAGAATCAGGAGAGATGTGGCCACTGCTGGTGCCGCTCCTTCTGGTCATCGTAGCACAGCTTCCACTGCTAAGGTGGAGACGGGCTTCGTGTGCAGGCTGCTGAGGGGTCGCTCTGGGTGTGAAGCCCTGGGGAGTAGCTCCCTGTCACCCGCTGTGGCTGTCCTCACCCTGATCTGCCAGGCGGGACATTCTGGCCCTCATGGGCGTTCTCTTGTCTCAGCACCATGGATGGGCAGCAAGCACCACCAAGCAGGGGCCTCAGGAGCAGACACTGCAGGCCATGCAGAGCCAGGCCACCTGCCAGGTTCTGAGGGGTTCTTGGGAAATGGTGGGAGCCCCTCTTAAGGCCTGTGCCAGGCCGTGGCGGGAAGGGGGGCTGTGGTGAGCACTGTGGCACCTGCTCCTGGGGCTGGCCTCTGGCTGCTGTGCCATGTTCAGGGTCAGCCTCTGAGCTGGAGGAGGGTGAGCCTGGGAGCAGGCGTTGGTGTGTAGGGTGCCATCATCCCAGCCAGGCCCTCCCCACCCGCCTCACCTGCCTCTCTTTCCAGTTCCAGTTATACTGTGTGTACTTCCTGATCCTGTCCATCATCTACTTCTTGGGGGCCATGCTGGATGGCCTGCGGCACTGCCAGCGGGGCCACCACCGGCCGCTGCCCCTGGCCCAGGACCTGAGGAGTCCCGTGGAGGAGAAGGCAGCACAGGTGCTGAGTGTGCAAGACAAGGGCCTTGGAGGCCTGCAGCCAACCCAGAGCCTGCCGCTCTCCCCAGAAGGTGGCCTGGGGACTTTGGGGCCAGCCTTCCTGGAGCAGAGACAGAGCGACCCAGCCCCAGCCCCGGCCCTGCAGGCAGCTGGATTCCTGAGCCCAGTGACAGCCCCTTCTGCCTGCACTCCGTGCTCTGCCCAAGCCTCAGGCCCTGACGCTGCAGATGAGACCTGTCCCCAGCCGGCTGTCCATCCTCCTGGTGTCAGCAGCCTGGGTTTGCAGCGTCATCCAAGTGACAGTGTTCAGAATGTGAACCAGTGACTCTCGGGGGCCCCTGTGGTAACTTTGTAGGTGACCCTCGGTACGTCCCTGTGACCCCTGCCTCGAAGGTCACTTGCCTTAGCCATGGGGGCCTCTGCTTATCCTGCTGGCAGGTCCCCTGGGATTCCCCCAACCCTGTGCTGCACTCTAGCGGTGGCCACAGCCTGCTGGCGACACTCAGGGCAGCTGCCTGGCCATGCTGTCCCTGCGCTGTATCCCGCGGGCTTTGGTTGCTGGAAGAGGTGGGTGGTGGGCTTCTGTGTCCACCTGGTGTCACTGGCTCATGCCCATTGGGGGGCTTGAGGCAAATCCTCTGTGCCCCTCTGGGCTGGTGAAGTGGCCTTAGATACCAGCTCAGGGGACACTGGCCACACAGGAGTTCTGAGCCCTCTAGGGCAGGGTGGGAGCCTAGGCCCCTGGGTGTAGCTGAGCTGTGACATTGCTGGTCATCCTCGGTGCTCTTGCGTTTTGGAAGATGCTCTGCTTTTTTTTTTTTTTTCTTTCTTTTGAGACAGAGTCTCGTTCTGTTGCCCAGGCTGGAGTACAGTGGTGCGATCTCGGCTCACTGCAAGCTCCACCTCCCGGGTTCTCGCCATTCTCCGGCTTCAGCCTCCCGTGTAGCTGAGACTACAGGCGCCCGCTGCCATGCCTGGCTAATTTTTTTTTGTATTTTTAGTAGAGGCGGGGTTTCACCATGTTAGCCAGGATGGTCTCCATCTCCTGACCTCGTGATCCACCTGCCTCGACCTCCCAAAGTGCTGGGATTACAGGCGTGAGCCACCGTGCCTGGCCCTTTTTTTTTTTTTTTTAAACTGACATAGAATGAAGAACTGCACGTGGCTTCTCTGTCTCTGTGGAAAAGCCATCTCAGGTTGGCGGCAGATGCATCCTCATCAGAGGGGGGCGCAGCGGCTCTGGTCCTCAGAGCTGGTTCCATTCTCCCACCCTAAGGGCAGCCCTCCATGGTCCTGTCTGTCCTTCTGAAGTGTGTCCATCCTGACCCACAGGTCCTCAGCTGCTCCCACACTCATGCCAGCCCGGAGAGGACTGGTCCCGGTCACCGCAGACGTGCTGGCCTTGGTGTGTGCGGGGCTTGCCTGGGCTGGGGAGCCGCGGGGGAGCTGCCTTCGTGGGGGGCACTGGGGAAGTATGTCCCAGCGGCCTCGGGGTGTAAGGAGCGCTAGTGCCTTGCCCGCAGCTGCCGGACCATCTGATGTGAAGTGAATGCTCTTCCCACATACATCAAACACACTTGTTACGTGAGTGTGCACAGGGCTTCTGATTCTGGGCCGGCCTGGCCTGGGGGGTGAGGGTCGGCAGTCAGTGAGGAAGCCAGAAGAGGCATCCCAGCCTTCTCCCCCTACCAGCCCACTCAGGGCCTTGGTGCCCATGGGCTGAGCCCCCCTACAACCCTAGTCAATGGCCCTATCCTATAGGGCCTCTGCCACATCTCAGCGGCCCTGGGTGAATGGCTGGCTGCTCACCAGCTCAACACAGAGAGCTGGGGACAGAATCTCTGGCTGGGGAGGGGTCGCTGGAGCTGCTGGACCCAGGGGTCTCCCGAGGTGGCTCAGGGGAGCAGGCATCTTGGGGTACCCTGGGTTGAAGCAGAGGCTGCACGTCGAAGATGGCCCGAGTCAGCGGATGGTGCTGGTCAGACAGGGCTGTGGTCCTGGGTGCATCCAGGGGCCCTGTCACGGCCACCCTGGGGACCCTGCTGGGAAGGGTCTGTACCAGCCATTTCCTGGGCTCGTAGATCTAGCAGGATGTGATGGGTGGAGGTGGGCTGGGCCTGTGCCATGGGCCAGAGCGTCACTGGGGAGGCCCACGCTGTCATCAGAACCCTCCCCCCAGTGCCTCCCCCACCCAAGGGCTTGCTCCCTCCGCATCCTGCTCACTGCGCCCACCGCCTGCCTGCCTCTGAGTCCTGCCCTCACCTGGCCACCAGGACAGGGACGGCTGTCAGGATGTCGTGTTCCCGGGAGCAAGCCAGGTGCTGCTGTGAGGAGAGGCTCGAGAGAGTCGGTGTGTGTCCACGCACCTGTGCATGCCTGTGTGCCTGTGTATGCTGTGGATGCTCCTGCACACCTGTGTATGCCCAGGCATGCATACCCCCATGTAACTCCATGCCTGTGCACACTTGGGTTCTGCCAGTGGGCCAGTCCAGGGATAAAAGACTCCTGAGGACTCCTTTTGGAGAACTGTGTCCTTCCTGTGACAGTGAAGGCTCTTGCACACCAAGAGTCAGTGTAAAAGGTCACTTTTATTTACCTGTCTGAATTGGCTTCACATCACACACAGTTATAGAACCAGCCCCACCGGTTTTGTCGCAGTCCCGAGGCAGGTGTGTGCTGGTGTGCTGTGGTCAGCCTGGCACTGCCCTGAGTCCACTTGTCCCTCCACACAACGTATGACTCTGGTGTCGATGCTGCCGGATCTCAGGGGTGGCTGCGACAGAGGACCTCGTCGCACCTCGTGGCTGCTTTGTTCGCCTGCAGGGCAGCCTGTGTGCACCCTGGGTGTCCCCTTCAGTCCCAAAGAGGGCAAGGATGTGGGTTTCCTAGGAGACAGCCGATGACTGCCCTGCATCTGGAGCCAGCCTGTCCATGGGCAGTGCACAGATGGCAGCTCTTCCCCACTGCCCTGTGCGCTGGCTGCCGCATGTCCTGTGCCAGCCTCAGCCTCTTCGACGTGGCCTTGTTCCATCCTGGCACTCAGCTGGACAAGTGCTGGCTGAGCCAAGTCCCAGCCGGGGGCATGAGATGGGGGCCCTGGATAGGAGGCTGCCAGACCCCAACTCACAGGTCCCTCGTATCTCCCAGCTTGGACTTGGCCAGCGTGGAGCTGTCTGCTTTGGATGTATCTCATGGGTCATTTGGGAGGCCGGCCCCAGGCTCCTGTGCGTGATGTTGGAGGACAGGCCAGAGCCGGGGTTCACAGTGGGCCTCTGAGCTTGGAAACCTGCTCCCGCCTGGGGTTGCTGTGAACAGCCCAGAGCTGAGCAGAAGGGGCTGCCCCAGCCCCAGGGACCTGAGCCTCCCTCCCATCAACCACAGGGCAAGCACACCCTGGAGGAGAGCCCAGGTGGCCCTGTGCTGAGTGTGGCCCCAGCTCCCATTGCCTCACGGGGCCCGTCTGCTACCAGGTCTGGGTTTTGGGCACAGAACGGAGGTGCTAGGTGGGAGATGAAGTCGGCGCCTGCCGGGGCGAGCACAGCTTCCCAGAGGAGGAAATCCTGGAGAAATCAAGCCGTGGTCTGATTCAGGCCAAGAGGCTGCACAGGGCACGATACTGCAGCCTGTATGACCCAGGCTGCCTGACCCAGGCCGTGCCAGCTGCGCTCACAGCTCAGGGGAGAGCTAGGGCAGGTGAACGTCAGCATTAGGCTTCTGTTTTAAACTTTTAAAAAAATACACTCTTTGGCTTCCTTTTATTTCTTGAGGATTACATGACATGTGAACTATACAGGAAAGTATGGCCGCCAGGTCCTGGGGCCAGGGGCTGGCCGGCCGCTCCCTGCTCACAGTGGGTGCTTCCTCCCAGCTGCCCGTCCTCTCCGGCCATCCGCATCCAGGCGGCAGCTACTTGGAGGCAGTCATGAAGCTGTTCTCGATGCAGAGGACGATATAGGCGTGGTGGCAGCTTGCGGCATTCTGCCCCAGGAGCCTGCCCCCCAGCAGCGAGGAGGCCTGACCTGTGACCGAGGGAGCCTCTGTCCGCCACGTCTCGCAGTAGCTGTCAGTCAGCCTGCGCCCACTGGGGTCCGAGCCATGCCACACGCTCTTCTGGGGCCTGTAAGACGCGCCGGGCCGTCAGTCACGCCCAGACCTGCTCCACTTAGGGCGGAGGCCACCCCCAGGCAGGAAAGGTGGAGGCAGGAGGCCGGCCCTAGGGGTAACGGGGCTGCAGAGGCTCCCACAACCTGGAGGGCCACGTGGCCTCCCTGCTGGCTGCCTGTGGAGGGCGCTGCATCTCCCAGACTGCACCCCATGCTGCTTCTGCCAGACACCCACAAAAGAGGGGAGAGGGCCCAGGGCTTGGCCTGGCTGGGTGGACCCGGCCCTCATGCCTGCTAAACAAAGGCTTCCTGTGGCTGCCTCGCTAGGAAGCAGCTCCACCTCCTGGGCTCCTGGCTTCCGGCCTGCCCTGTGGCCCAGCCTAGCCCCGCCCACAGCGCTCCTGTCAGAGACCCTTGGCAGGTGCATCTCCGTTACAGCAGATGGCCAGGCACTGCTGGGGATACGCTGTGTGGCACCCCGAAACACTCCTAAAAGCATGAGTGTTGGAAGAATCGGGGCGCTCATGGGGGAGGGCACAGCCACATTCGGGATGAAGCATTCTTCTGGACACCCTGGACATTTCTGTCAACATTTTAAGGGCACACATGCTCGGACTCCGTGTTGTCCTCTGAGGAGTTTATTCTCGGTGAATAAACTCACTGCGATGCTTACATGGCTGGCCACGGGTTTGGTGACATCCTGGGAAACGTGGAGTCTATCTGCCATGGGCAGAGGGCCGGGGGCGCTTAAAGGCGTTCTTAGAACTACATTCCTCTCAAACACATGTTAATGATTACTTATCAGAGCAGTTTTCATTTTTCTCAATGCTCTTTTGGATTTTATAACTTTTAAGTAATGAGCACGTATAAGATCTGTCCCAAAACTCAGGGGGAACTGCTGTTAGGAGCACTGGGCACACGCCTGCCCATCCCTCCGTCCTCCTGCCTGCCCACCTGTCCGTCCACCTTCCCTGGCTGGGGCTCTCAGAGCTGCTCACACGGCATTGGGAACCTACCAGGTGGGGTGCCTCAGGACGTCCTTGCCGTCAAAGGAGAAGATGCGTGCCCCGGGCTTCAGCGGACCCTCAGAGCCTGCAAACAAAGCCTCCCAGCTGGGAAACAGCAGCTCATCCTGAAGGAGAAACCGTGTGTGTGTGGGCGGAGGGGCTTCTGCAGCCCCGGGCACATCCCACCGGTGAACGAGCGCACGGAGGCCAGGCCTGGCCAGGCAGCCTCTGCAGACTCCAAGAGGCCTCGGCTAAGACAGGGGACCCTGTCCCCTCATGCCAGGCTGTAAGAGGGTGGGGAGCGCCGGACCGCAGCTGCCTGCTCCCAGCCCTGGACCCTGGGTCTGTGACCCCTCTGCTGTTGCTTCTGGGAATGTGGTCCTCCCCAGGGCACCCAGAAACAGCCCAGTGCATGAAAAGGAGCCACAGAATAAAGCAACATGGAGGGGGGTGCTGTGGCAGAGGGGCCACCAGTCCGGGTGGCACTGGAGGCCCAAGGGACGGTTCCTGATTCCAGGCTTGTAGTTGAGGCCTGTCACCTGTGTGGACACTCGGGCCAGCAGCCCGGGAGCCTCTGAGAGGCACTGCTGGGGGAGTGGGGGTCAGGGGACCACGTGGGGGGCCTCATGGGATGCCCTGGGGGAAGCGGCAGCGCCCAGGGATGCAGAGGCCCTGGCCTGAGCCTTGTGGGATGTGACCCACCCGGAGCCTGCCCTGAAGTCACCAGCCTGGGTGGCAGTGTCCACCATGGCAGCCTCCAGAGGTCCTCGAGGGGAGCCCCCTGCTGGGAGTTCCCCCAGAGGTCAAGTGGGGGCCAAGGAGCCCATGCCCTCAGGACTGGACTGACCCACCTTGAGGTTGACGATGGGCACGGCTGCGCGGTCGGCACGGCGCACGATGCTGTACAGGTCTTGCAGCCGCGAGGACAGGAAGGCACGGAAGGTGCCCACCAGCCCCACGGCCCGCGCCTGCTGGAAGCACTGGAAGTCGGCCCCTTGCCGGAAATCCGGCCCCACCGGATGCGCATGCTGCCCGGCAGTGGGCTGTTAGCGCAACCAGGTGGAGCTGTGGGGAGAAGAAGGCACATCATGGGCTGTGCCTGTGCCAGGCCTGGGTCCCCACCCGGCACCGCACCTGTATGGACAGGCACGCTGGCCAAGGGGGCTGAAACAGAAAATGCCCAAGCACATTACACTGAGGCCCAGGCAGCAGCCCCATACCCTGCCGAATCCAGGCCCCGAGACCACGTGGGTGCCCCCTACCCCTGCCCAGGTCAGGGCAGCCCGGGCCACGTGGGTGCCCCATACCCTGCCGGGTCAGGGCAGCTGGGCCGTGGGTGCTGGCTGCCCTCCTGTGGGCTCATAGGTTCCTGGGTCAGGGCAGCCCCGGGCCACGTGGGTGCCCCCAGCTGCCTCTGTAGGCGGAGGCACGCCGGTTCCTCAAGGATGTGATAGGGGCTGGACTTTCATGACCACTGCTTGGCCACCGGAGGGCAAGTCCAAGGCTGAGCCACCAGACATCCACCCATGGCCGAAGCCTGGGACCCCCAGCAGCTCTGCAGGGGCTGGGTCCTCTTCTGCTGCCCCGAGAGCCGAGGGGCTAGATGGAGCGGAGCCCACTCTGGGGGGCACTCACCACGGGCTGGAAGTCGCGGTGGGTGTGGGCGGGTGGGCTCGTGGGCAGCGCCGGCCGCAGGTGCACGTAGGAGCTGTGATGCGGGGCTCCAGGGTAGGGCTGGGGCTCGGGCAGGCGAGGGGGGCTGGCCAGGATGTCGTCTGCCCGCCAGGGCCTTGCGGTGGGGTGGGGGTACTCCCGCCGAGGGTAGGGGTTGCTGTCATGCAGCTGCACCACAGGGGGCTGCAAGGCAGCCACTTCGTTGTCCTGCAGGTGGGAGATGCGGGGCCTGTCGGCAGGGGTCCCTCCGCTTGCCCCTCCTCCATCTGTGTCCTCCTCTGGGCTGTGTGAGGGGCTGCGCTGCAAGCTGGCAAGCAGGGTGCTGTGCCCCCAACCCTGGAGCTGCCCTGGGCGGGGGGGCAGGAGCAAGGGCGGGGAGTCCTGCCTGCTGTGGTGCTGGATCATGGTCACCTCTGCTCAGGCCCCCAGACCCAGCCGTGCGCAGAAGCCGTGGCCCTCACTGATCATGTGCCCTGACCTGCCCTCTCCTTGCTGTGGCTCCAATTTAGGGCCCCTGACCTCAGCGTGGCGACCTCCGACCTTCTCATGTCCCTGAGCCCTTGCTCTGTCTCCCTCAGAGGTGACCTCCACCCTAGAAATCCCAGCCCCCAGGTCTGCACCCCAGTCCGATTCCCCTGATTCTGTACCTTTCCCCACAGCCCTGAGCCCCTCCTGACCCAGCTGCCATCCACCTGCACCGCGTCCACATTGCTGTCCCCACTGTCCACTCCGCAGGGCCGGGCTGTGTGTTACCCAGGGCAATATCCATGGCCACCCGCACACAGCAGGGGCCGTGACTATTGACTGGCTGACTGAATGAATGAATGAATTGGCAAATGAGTGAGAGCAGACTGGGCTGAACCCTGTGAGGAGACCGGCTGCTGCAGAGCCCGACAATGCTCCACATCAGGCTTCACTCCTGAGCCAATTAAGGAGTCATGACCTGTACTCAAGGAGGGGCCAACAGCAGCTGGACGAAACACTTAGGAAAACGAAAATATTCACCCAGCTTTGCACCATCCATCCACCCACCCATCCACTCACCCACCTGTCCACCATCCATCCACTCACCCACCTGTCCACCATCCATCCACCCACCCACCTGTCCACTCACCCATCTGTCCACCATCCATCCACCCCTCCACTCACCCATCTGTCCACCATCCATCCACCCACCTATCCACTCACCCACCTGTCCACCATCTACCCACCCACTTATCCACTCACCCACCTGTCCACCATCCATCCACCCATTCATCCACTCATCTACCTGTTCACCATCCATCCACCCATCTATCCACTCACTCACCTGTCCACCATCTACCCATCCATCCACCTCCCCATCTACCTGCCTATCCACTCACCCACCTGTCCATCCACCCATCCATCCATCCACCTCTCCATTGATTCACCCACCCAGTCAGCCACCACCCTAGAGACATCCATTCTTGTGTCTGGCACTTTGGGAGAGGGAAGGCAAAGATACAAGATGTGGATTTTGGCCCCAAGGATTTTGACCCTGAGGAGGGCAATGAGTGGCAGACACAGTTCGGAAAGTTGAGGGATGAGAGTGGCTCCTTCGTGAGGCCAGCGGCTGAGACGGAGTTAGTGGGGTGTCCTGCACTGAGACGGAGGTACTGGGGTGTCCTGCACCCGTTTTCTGCAGCAGGGGCCGATGGTGAACCACATGCTCAGCTCCAGGACTCCAAAGGACCACGTGTTGTTCCCCAAACAAGAGACAGCACATACCCTCCGTGTCCTGACCACCCGCCAGTCTCAACAGAGAAACGCTCCTTACCGTCCCTCGTGGAAGTGGCGTCCGGGGCTCCAGCTGGAAGAAAGCAGAAGGGTCATCCAGGACCTGCGGCTGGGCCTGAGCCAGGGTGCCCTCCCTGCCCAGCACCCGCCTCTCCCTCCCCAGCACCTGGCCCTTCCAGACCACAGAAGGGTGCCTTCCCTGCCCAGCACCCGGCCCTCCAAGCCTGTACCAGGGTGCCCTCCCTGCCCAGCACCCACCTCTCCCTGCCCAGCACCCAGCCCCCCCAGCACATGTTTGCTAGGGTGCCATCCTCTGCCTCCTCCTGTCAGGACCAAAGGCCCTGAAAGTTAGGATGGGGCTGCATCTCAGTGCCTACGAGGACACCTGGCACAGTGGGCACCAGCTCAGCGTCTGCTATGAGACTGGCAGCCTCTCCCTTCCCAGATAAGGGACTGGAATGGGATTCACAGTCTGGGGGGCTGCAGGGGCTGGCCCAGGCCCGGGTGGGGGCCGGTGGCGAGATGGAGGGAGTGCTAGAAGGAAGGTGGGAGGGCTGCAGAAGTCAGGGCTGTGTCAACGCACAGTCTGCCGTGGAGGCTCCCATGGACGTCACAGGCCGTTTTGGCAGCACGGGGCTTCTACCAGTCCTCACCTTTGCCACATGAAGGCAAACAAACCTTCCCCGGGGCCCTGCAAGCATGGCCACGCACACCTGGATCAGAGTGGCTGCTCCTGCCGTCCAGGCCATTTTGGGAAAGTAGGAAAGGGGCTGGCCTGGCCTGGAAGGGGCCATCCCAGGTGTGTCTGAGGAGCCAGGCTGGTGAGCAAGGCCCATGCTAAGCGGCGAGGACACATTTCATCCCACCTCAGTGTTTATAATGTGGGGTGCAGAGCCACAGGACAGCCTGCATCCCAGCCAGGGCCGTGCTGTGGACATCACGTGGCCCTGGAGGGCCTGAGCCCCACTCCCGCCTCGTCCCGTCAGACACCTTGTCTTGTTCACGGGCGTGTGAGGTGATGTTTATCTTAGTAAATATTCACTGTGACGTGACCTGCCAGGAGCCCCTCACACACTGTGTGTTCATCCGCTTCCAGAAGTTTGAGCTCACTTTTCTCTAATCCCAAAACTGCTCACAAAAGTATTTCACTAAACTTTGCCAGAAGTTCGAAAGTTTAACAAGCGCTGGCTGCCACCTGCCTCCATCCCCGTCTGGGGCCTGGGCCTCTCGCCTTCCTTAAGCCCCAGGAGGCAGCTTGGGCCCTTCCACAGGTCAGGAACCTGCCATGCACAGCACTCACCTGGACCTTCCGGAACCCGTTCCGCACACGGACGTAGAGCTCCTCCTGCTCGGCCACAAAGATGAGCCAGCCCTCGGGAACCTCGTGCACCTGGCCCAGCATGGCCTGGCGCGTGGCCCAGAGCCTCACCTGCTGGGACCCAAACGCAGGGGCGTGGGGCTTGAGATGGGAGGGCACGGGGCAGGGGCAGAAGGAAGAGATGCCCGTTTCAGGGCGCTGGGCAGGGGCAGAAGGAAGGGATGCCCGTTGCAGGGCGCTGGGCAGGGGCAGAAGGAAGGGATGCCCGTTTCAGGGTGCTGGGCAGGGGCCGCAGGGCTTTGGGCAGGCATGGACTGAGGCGGCTGCCCCCATGAGCACTGTGGGGACCCCTGCCCGCCTCCAGCCCCTCAGCCTCCGTGGACAGTGTATGGGCCCTAGACACTTCCCAGCTGGTGGTCGTCCTCCTGGGCCCACTGGATCCCCCCGTGGCCTGGCCCTGCTTCCACCCTGGAAACCACATCTCGGCCTCCTGTGCATCTCCCTGTGGGGTCCGTGGGACGGTGCCTCTGAGGGGCAGGGGCTGCAGAACCAGCCAGGGCATGGGACCCAGGTGCCCAGCCGGCTGCCTAGATACTCACCCCTGAGGAGGTGCTCATGGTTCCAGGAGGCCCAGGGGGCCCAGGGGGGCCCGGAGGGCCGGGAACGCTGATAGCTGCAGGAGAGAAACCAAGGTGGGAACGGGAAGCCACACGAGGCGGCCTCTGCCCGGGGTCCACTCCCCACTGACTTACTCTGCCTGTGAGGGCCGGGAAATGAAGGGGGCCCTGGGGGGCCAGGGGGGCCTGGGGGGCCGGGAGGGCCCTGGCGCCCCTCGTAGCCGATGCCAGGGGGTCCCTGAGGTCCAGGTGGGCCAGGCTGGCCCCGGATGCTCTCTCCCTTGGGACCCTAGGGACGGCGACAAGAGACGCTTCCTGGTTACCTCGTGCCCTGGGCTGGGGGCGGGCAAGCTTGTGGGGCTGGGGCTGCACTGGGCTGGGGGTGGGCAAGCTTGTGGGGCTGGGGCTGCAGCTGCCAAGACCCCCTTGATGAGCGCAACCTGAATCACTGGTCCCCTCCTCCTGCCCACACCATAGCCTGAGAAAACCCCACACCATCACCCCTTCTTCCCTGGGGGTGCGATCCCGGGGCAGAGACCAGCTCTGACCAGAGAGACCAGCAGAGACCAGGGACCTGACAACAGTGTGGGCCCCCAGGCAGGAGCTGGGGCCCATGGCTCTCTGGAGTCTTTCAGGACTGATGGGCCTAAACCCCGATCTGACAGAGCAGAGGTGGACGCGCTTGGCCCTGGCAGGAAGGCAGGCCATGGAACGCTGCAGGGGGACGGGGTGTGTCTGGGGCCAGTGCACCCACACCTGGGCGGCCTGCTGCGTCCCCACACGGGGACAGGGCCATGTCGGGGCTGCTGAGCTTGCAGGGGCAGCTCCGGCCTTGGTGGGCGTCGGTGGCCGGGCTGGACCTGCCCTCAGCGCGCCTGCACCCAGACCCCTGGGACATACGCTCTGCCCGCACAGGCTGGGACTTACTGGAATCCCAGGGTAGCCAGGTGGGCCTGGGGGGCCGGGGGGACCTGGCAGGCTGGAGCCAAAAAAGCCGCCGCCCCCGGGCTCACCCCTTTCGCCTTTCTGTCCTGCTTCCCCTCGGTCTCCCTTCTCCCCCTGTGGATGGAAACACTTGTTAGACACAGGAGCCCCGAACCCCTACAAGCCACAGGTGACCTCCCATCCCTCCCGAGCCAGGGCACGGCGGTCAGAAGCTTCTAGCCCAGGCCTGGGAGCTGCTGGCTGCAGAGAATAGGGCTCGACTCCCCACCTCCCACTGTATCAGCCAAGTCCCCAAAAACTGAGCCGGGGACAGGAACGTCCTGAGGGGCGCCCTCGACACCCTCTGGAGCCAGCGCTCCTCTCAGGGCTGAACAGGAAGGGGTCTTGGGCCGGATGGCACAAGGAATTGGGAGCAGCCACCCAGGGGGATGTACAGGACCTTGGGGGCCCCCAACCCCACCAGGGAGGTCACCCACCTTCATTTCAGCCTCCAACTGAAGAAAGTCGAATGGAAACTGCCCTGCGAGAGACAGACAGGTGGAGTCTCGCTGAGGCGGCGTCTGATGGCGCCGGGCTCCCCCTGCAGCCCCCAGCACTGGTGGGTTTGCCTGAGGTGCTTCTAGCCATTACCGTATTTCCCGGTAGAGATCCCATATTTCATTAGGTTCTTCTTAGTTAACTGACACTTTCTGATGTTTTTGTTAATGGTGTTTTTTTTTTTTTGACAGAGTCTCACTCTGTCGCCCAGGCTGGAGTGCAGGGGGGTGATCTCAGCTCACTGCAAGCTCCGCCCCCCAGGTTCACGCCATTCTCCTGCCTCAGCCTCCCAAATAGCTGCGACTACAGGTGCCCGCCACCACGCCCGGCTAAGTTTTTGTATTTTTAGTGGAGACGGGGTTTCACTGTGTTAGCCAGGATGGTCTCGATCTCCTGACTTCATGATCCGCCCACCTCGGCCTCCCAAAGTGCTGGGATTACAGGCGTGAGGCACCGCGTCCTGCCAATGGTGTCTTTTTAAAACTTCATTTTTAATTGTTTAGGACTAGTTGGTGGTTTTTCTAAACTCCCCTTCCATCTGGTGACCTCGGTGAACCCTGACGGTCCACCTGCAGATCCACTTGGGCAGCTGATGTGGGAAATGTCCTTCCTTCCCGAGTTCTGTCCTTCCTGTCTCTCCTCTGCCCCTCCCAGGGTGGGCAGGCAGCTGTCTTGGCCCTGACTTGAGGTCCCCACACCCACTCCGAGGGTGAAGCTGTGGAAGTTCCAGGTGGCTCCTTCCAGACCACGGAGGAGCCCTTTGCTGAAATCGCTCCTTGTTGCTTCTCTCCTTTCCATCAGCCTTGGCAGAGATTAGGAATGTCATTAGCCTTTTCAAAGAATTAACTTCGGATTTTTGGACTTTCTTGATCCTTGCTATTTTTATATACATAACCATACCTAATTTATCTTCACTCATTTTTGATCTTTACTATTTCTTCCCATCTATTTTCATCAAATAAATGTTTGTTGTTCTTTAACAATAAACTGTTTGTTCTTTAGCATCTTAGGCTGATGTGTGGAAACAGGTACTATTTAAAGCTGTAATTTTGTCAATGGAGATGACAAAACCTGTTCTCCTTCCAGGTGGGACCTTAGACGGCCTGGAGCAAACCTTCTCCTGTGACTGTTCCCCTGGAACCCTGACCGGGGTGGAGACAACCTCACTCTGGGAGGCCGTGCCCTGTAACCCAGAAGCCTCTGAGCAGGTGGCTCCACACCCCCAGGGCACCCCCATCCCACAGGTGCAGTGCCTGGGGTTGGAGGTCATGGCTGCTGTCAGGACCCATGCTTCCTCCTTCTGCAGAGGGAGGTGACCGGCTGTGGAGGCCCCTGAGGCTGCAGTGTGAGGACTAAGGATGCCCCGGACGCATCTAAGCGTCGGGTTCCTCACTTCCACCTGCTTCTCCTTGACCCATGAGCCGCCTGGAAGGGCACTGCCCTGTGGGCATTTCCCACTTGCTTCTACTGCACTCGTGAGATCACAGTTCCTGGAAGCCAGGCCTGCATTCAGCTTAGCCTGGGCCCCTCCGGGGCAGACCCTGGTCCCAGTGCTGGGGACGCAGCCTGGAGACGGTTGCAGGTGACACCTGTCAGACCTGCTGTTCAGATCTCCCTGGGCTGAAAGTCCCCCTACAATGATTGATTTGTGTTTTTCTTTTTCACTTTGGCAACTTTTTACTTGTCATATCTTGAGGGCTATCTCATTAGATGCACAGAAATGTAGAATTACTGAATTTCTCTGGTAGACTTCCTCCGTTGTCTCAACGAACATTTATTTTTGACCACGTTTCTTACTCCAGGATATACTTTGCACGTGCACACACACACCAAACCACACCCCCACACTACACACCCAGCACCCACATAGCCACACTCCACACGCACCCCACACCACACAACTAACACACCCATATACGCACATTCCACACACGCCCACACTACACACCCAACAACCACATACACACAGTCCACACACACCCTCACACCCTCACACTACACACTCAGCACACCCACATATGCACACTCTACCCACACCCCCACACTACACACCCAACACACCACTACACACTCAGCACACCCACATATGCATACTCCACACACACCCACACCTGCACACTACACACCCAGCACACACACATATACACACTCCACACACACCCAAACCCACACCAGCCTCTGAGTGCCTTGACCTCTCCAGCCCTCACGTTCAGGGACCGTCTCTTGTTAAGGAGCATACGGTTTTGCTGTATCCCATTGACAATGCCTGTCCTTCAGTGGATGTATCTACCCCAGTCACACTTACAGCACCTGCAGATGTATCGGGGCCTAAATCTACTGTTTTATTCCCTGGTTTCTGTTCCTCCCACCTGTTCTGCATTCCGTTTTCTCTCCTGTTTTGCCTTCTTTTGGATCCACTCTGTGTTTTAAACGTCCTGTGTGTGTGCCATCCTGCCTGCCATCCTGCCTGCCCTTCTGCCTCTCCACCGGTGTCAGCTCTGCCCTCCTCTCCAACCTCACTGTCCAACAGAGTGAGGACCACCGCCACTCCTCAGGGCGCGGAGACCACGGCAACCTGTAATTGCACTGTCGCTGGGACCCTGTGCCGTGTAGCCCACGCTGGTTCCCACGGGAGCCTCTGACCCCACTGTCGCTGGGATCCCGTGCTGGGCAGTCCACACCGGTTCCTGCAGAAGCCTCTGACCCCATTGTCGCTGGGACCCTGTGCTGGGCAGTCCACGCTGGTTCCCACAGGAGCCTCTGACCCCATTATCGCTGGGATGCCAGTTCCTGCTGGTGCTGTCTCTCCCCATCTCTGCACTCCTTTCCCTCGGCCTCATCTTCCCCCTTGAAGTGCCCTCCACCGCTGACACAGCTCGGGTCTGGAGTGGCCAGCCTGCATGTCATCCTCGTTCCGAAGGCTACGGGAATACTGTCGGAGTCTACACTGGCCTTTCTCAGATATTTTGGAAACAATTTATGGTCTTCTGGCTTCTCCCGTTTTGTTGATTCATCTCTCGTCACTCTTATTGTTGATCCTTTGAATGAGGGGAACACTCTGAGCCTTCCTTGGCCATTCCGCCTGCAAACACTGTTCCCTTTGGAGCCCTCGGAGCCCTTGTTCTGGCTCCCAGGGACAGGCAACCCCATGTTCACCAAAACCTATAGACAGGTCTCAAGCTCCAGCTGTTCTGCCTTCAGCCCTGGGTTCGTCCGGACACCTCTGAGCTTCCCAGCTCTCTGCTGCCATCTCCAGGCTTCCCGTGGCTTTTGAATGTGACCTTCGGAGTTCAAGGTGGGTCCGATGACCCCATGAGCTGGGCCTCCCGGTCGGGTGTGTCATCGGCCTCTCCTCCTGGTTTCTGGTCAGCGCCAGCCATCTACGCCCCACTCACTCCTTCCTGGGCGTCGTGTGTGACGCTGAGAGATCCAAAGATGGGACAGGCGTGTCTTCCATCTTCCCGCTCGCTTTCTGCCTGCCTTTTCCTCCATAGGCCTTAAGGATGTCCCGGCCTGACTCAGCCTCTGCCCACCTGGTCCCTTCCCAAGGTGCAGCCCCAGCTACAGCAGGTATTGCAGCCTCCTCAGCAGAGGACCCTGGTGGCGAGAGGGGACCCTGGCGGCGAGAGGGGACCCTGGCGGCGAGAGGCTCTGCATCTGTCCACCCATCCCACTCCCCCTCCACTCACCCCATCTCCACCATCCATCCACCCACCCACCTGCCACCATCCATCCACCCACCCATCCACTCACATCATCACATCCATCTCCCCCCATCCTCACCCACCTGTCCACCATCCTCACTCACCCACCTGTTCACCATCCATCCACCCACCCATCCACTCACCCACCTGTCCACCATCCATCCACACCATCCACTCACCCACCTGCATCCCCATCATCCACCCACCCATCCTCACCCATCCTCACCATCCATCCACCCCTCCACTCACCCATCTACCAGCCACCATCCATCCACCCACCCACCTGTCCACCATCATCCCTCCACCCCTGCTCCACCATCCACTCCACCCCACCCATCCACTCACCCATCTGTCACACCATCCATCCACCCATCCTCCACCCATCTCACCATCCATCACTATCTGCTCACCCATCCTGTCACCATCCATCCACCCCATCCACTCACCCACCTGTCCACCATCCATCCACCCACTATCCACTCACCCATCTGTCACCATCCATCCACCCACTTATCCACTCACCCACATATTTCAATATACACCCATCACTACCCACCTGTACTCCACCCATCCACTCACCCACCTGTCCATCATGCACCCATCCATCCACCTCCCAATCTACCCTACCCATCCACTCACCCACCTGTCCACCATCTACCTACCCATCCACTCACTCACCTGTCACCATCTCCCTCACCCATCCACTCACCCACCTGTCCACCCATCCACCCACCCACCCATCCCTCACCCCATAATACCATCTACCCACCCCTTATCCCTCACCCACTGCTACCCATCACCACCCTCCTTCCTCCTACCTGTTCACAGCTCTACCCACCCACCCATCCACTCACTCTGCCTATTCACCATCCATCCACCCATCCACTCACCTGTCCTCAGCCACCATCCATCCACCTCCCCCATCTACCCTACCCATCCACTCACCCACCTGTGTACACCATCTACCCACCTGTCCACTCACCTGTCCACCATCCATCCACCCACCTATCCACTCACCCATCTGTCTACCAATACATCCACCCACTATCCACTCACCCACCTGTCCTGTCTACCACCCACTTATCCCTCCACCCACCTGTCCACCATCCATCCCACCCATTCATCCACTCATCTACCTGTACCATCCATCACACCCATCTATCCACTCGCTCACCTGTCCACCATCTACCCATCCATCCACCTCCCCACATCTACCTGCCTATCCTCACCCCACCTGTCCATCACCCATCATCACATCCACCTCTCCATTGAGTTCACC